TTTGCCCCTCCGAAACTGGCATGGGGGACCCTGAAGTAGCCCCTCGCATTCAGCTGCGGCACGAGACCTCGTCTTCCCGCCCTGACGCCGGTGCATGCACGACGCAGGTTCGTCCAGAGCAGCGGCCGATACTCGATGCTGATGGGCGGTGCGCGACATCTCCGAGACACCTCCCGGCCCTCTTCGCCCTTCCCCGCCACCGTGCCCGCCACACCGGGTGTCTCCACCTCGCGCGCCGTGAGGCACATCGGCAGCCTGCCGCGCACACACCTCCGCCACCCATTCTCCATCCCACTCTCCACGCAGAGTCGCACCCCGCTGCCGCCGGGCGGCGCACTCGCCCCACAGCTCTCTCACCCGGGCTCTGACACGCCCTAAGGGAAGGGGAAGGTACACTTCTCCACAGACCACACACACGAGGTGGTGGGGCAAGGGCCAGGCAGCCCTCGCGTCTCTGACACGTCCTCGGACACGTCCTCGACTCGTCCACAGCGGTCGCCGCCGCCGCCGGCGCCAAGGTCGTCACCGTGCCGACGCGAGCCTCGAGATCGCAATCTCGCTCGAGATCGCAATCTCCGCCTCGCGTCTCGTCCGCCGCTGCAGCTCCTCAGCTCGCCGCGCCGCTGCCGGATGCGACGCCGCTTCCCGCCTTCGTCGTCTCCACGGAAGAGAGGCTCGCCCTCACACAGCTTCACGCACACGCACACCGGGCCTTGCGCACGCGCCAGCTCCCGCCACGACCTCAGGGCCTGCTCAGGGCGCGGCGAGATGTGTGGCGCAGATGCGGCGGCGCCATCACCCTTTCAAAGTCGCGCGTGGAGCCCCCGCCACAGCCGTGCTCATCAGCCTTTCATGCCTGTCCTCTCTGTGCACAATACACTCGCACACGCCCGCGCGGCCCACGCACTGCGCTGCTGCCCGCGCCCTGAGAAAATAGCTCCAGCCGGCGTGCGCCCTCCCAGTTAGCAGCCCGCACGACGCAGCCGCACGCAGCTCTCTCTCATCCCATCAGCCGAATGATCGACCCAGCGTCTCCGTGCCCACCGACTACACCTCCTCGTGATGACCTGGCCTCGGCTGCCTCTTGCCCCCTCCAGGTTCGAGCGCGCCGCGGGGCAGGCTCGTGGGGCAGGCTTCACGCCGGTGCGAGTGCCGCCGGTCTTTGCGGCCGGCGACACATGCGGCGGGCGTGCCCTGCCCGGGAATGGGCAGCCTAGAAGCGGGATACGTATTCATAGGTAGTCCAACCAGCGCTCGAGAGGACGGCCGCAAGTCCGCTGCATTGTTTCACTGTGTTTGTGTCGCTCGTATTCACGCGGTGCTCTGCATACGCTGCACAACACCGTCCTCCCGCCGCGAGGCTGGCGTACTCAGCACGTAGGCTCGGGCACCCGCCGCTCGCGTTCCGAGACGGCTCCATTCCATCGTGAGTCCTCTACTGGTTGTTCGATAGGAACGGGCACCGGCTCGCGTTCCGAGGCGCGTGGCAGCGCATCGCCTACCGGAACGCCTCCGCCGCCATCTTCGAGGAGACATGCCCCCAGTCGCTTGGGCGTGCATAGGGGCCCGATCGTTTGCGCTGAGGCTGCCCTGTACCTCCTAGGACGACATCCTGGCCACCGGCGGCGCCTCCGCCGCCGCCGTCCGGGCGCACATTTCGGGGGCAGGGGGCGCAGACGTTGTTTTCCTTGGAGGCGACGGCAAGAGCTTCCGCTCACCATTAACAATTAAGAGTTAGCAACAGCACGAGCCGATACCACTCAATAGGCGACGGCAAGCGGACCAGCTTCCTCACGACGCACGCCATCTGGCTGAGCCCTCACGCGGCGTGGCAGCCTAGAAGGGGAAGACGTGCTCTTGTCTCCCAACCAGCGCTCGAGAGGACACGTACTCAGCCGTATTCTGACAGTATTCAGCGGTATGCAGCTGTACTCGCCTCCCTCGTATTCACGCGTGCTCTGAAGACTCTGCACAATACCGTCTTCCGCCCCGAGCTTGGCGTCTTCAGCACGTAGGCTCGGCAGCTGCTCCACTACACCGACCGCTGCCTCGACGGGTGCTAGCCACTACTAGCGAATCTGAACGCCGACCCTCTTCGCCCATGCATCCTCTACCATCATGTGTTAGGCCGCGCGCGTTTGTCGACCAGACCATACACTGCCTCTGCGTCGCCGGCCGCGACCCGATCATATGCAGGAGAGAGCAGGGAGGGGGGGAGGAGTGTGGGGAGCACACGGCTTGCTCACCCAAACGCACTGGGCCTTGCACCTTGTGTGCTGTGAGGCTCCTGCCCGTCGGGTGTGGAGATGCGAGGGCTGGCCCTTGCCCCACCACTTCGTGTGTGTGGACAAGTGAAACGTACCTTCCTACCTTAGGTCGAAGAAGTATGCCTGGCAGCAGCAGCGGCAGCAGCAGCGGCAGCAGCAGCAGCAGCAGCAGCAGCAGCAGCAGCAGCAGGAGGGCGGCGAGGCAAAGCACACGCGCTCCCGCGCCCTCTCGCCCTCTTGGAGGCGCGGGTCGGCGCCGGTACCGTCCCTCTCTCGTGCGCCGCTGTGAGAGTTCGTTCATGACTCTGATTGATGGTTGCTGTCGATTAGGCGACGTCTCTCTCGTGCGTCGCGGCGCCCATGACGCGCGTTGCTGGCGCGTTCGGCCGCGGCTTCTTCGTGCAGACACCGAAGATGCTGGATGCAGACCCTCGTATTCCGAGTCCGAGGAGACGCACTCCGCGCTAGTCACAGATTCAGCGGTATTGTAGCCCTCATATCTCTTAGCGGTATTCGCTCATGTGCACTCGAACACACGGCACACACCAGACCGCCACCCAGACCGTGTTCGCAACCCTGAGTGGCCTGTAGGTGAACCGTGCATACTCTCAACGCAGGTGCAGGACCGAGCGACGGGCAGGGCAGGAGCGCTTCACGATGCGAGTAACCGCGTCTCACTGGCCGTCGCCGCCCCCGCCGTCGCCGCCGTCGCCGTCGCCGCCCCCGCTGTCGCCACCGTCGCCCCCCCCGCCGCCCCCCTTCACTGCCCGCTGACGACGCTGCGCGACCGGCGCCACCCCCTAGATGCGGAGAGAGTTGTGTGCTCCAAGTAGCACTCGACTTTCGCCCAGCGCCGCGTCCGGAGAGGTAGACCCCTCTCCACGCCCCTGACGTGTGCCGTCTCCACAGCGCAGGCTCCACCTCGCGTGCTTCTTCGACGCGGACTCGCACCCGCTCGCGCGGCACTTCGTCCGCCACTACGCCACCGTCGTCGGTGTCCGGCTGGAGAGGATGACTTTCTGGGTGCACGCCCATCTTGCAGCCGAGATATAGCCAGAATACAGCGGAGCTGAGCCGAGTAAGTTGAGATATAGCCGAGCATAGCCCGCCACCCCACCTTCCGCCGAGATGTAGCCGAAATACAGCCGAGCCTAGCCGAGATGTGGCGTCTTCATCCCGTGCTCACGCCGCCACACACGCTCTAGCTCGGTCTGCACGTGCCTTAGGTGCACGCGCCAACCACCACGGACGCCAACGGGGTAGACGACCCACGCGCCAACGCAACCGCCGCCGCCGCCGCCGCCGCGGAGCACTCCTTGCACGCCGAGGGCGTCGACGATGTGACTGTTCCTGCTCTCGTACTCTCCAAACAGGCGGTGGAGGAGAGCGCGGGTTGAGGAGTGACTCTGAGATCCATAGGTGCGCCTCCTCGTCTCGATATCCGGGGAAGCGAGAACTATTCATCAATTCTCATCGCTCATCGCGCCGTGGTTCATCACAGGTGCGCCTCGAGGCGGCGGTCTAGTTGAGAGTTCGTTCATGCATGGTAATTCACCCGCACCAGGTACGGCGCATCTCGAGCCGGTGGAGCGACAAGCTCATGCTCAACGTCACAAACGATTTTATCAAGGCGCTCTCTCGCACCCTACCCCCCACACCGCCGCCGCCGCCGCCGCCGCCGCCGCCAAAACACTCAGTGGAGACGGCTCTTGCCGTCCCTGGCCTCAGGCGCTGCCGCGCGACCGCTGGCTGGTCTTCGCGAACATCGACGAGTTCTTCTACTTCCCGTGCGACATGCAGCGCCGCATCGCGGAGCGGAAGACCACCTTTTGCGCCGACATGGAGGACCGCGTCGCGCAGAGCCGGAGGGCGGTCGAGCTGCGCGAGGCGTCTTCGCCACGACGGGCCGACCGGTGTGAACAGCGTCTCTCTTCTCACAGCCCTGCGTGCCGACAGGCCCCGCCGATCGATGAGCAGTTCCCGGTCCGGTGCCGCATCCGCCAGTCGCTTCGCTCGCGGGGCCAGCGACCAATCACCCAGCACGCTAAAGTACCCGAATCCATCCTCTACCCCCACGGTACCGAATCCATAGGCCAGCGACCGATCACCACGGAGAAGATCACCCTGTTCCTCGCCTCGCCGGCCGGCAGGCCGCACCGGCAGTACAAGAGCCCCCACCGGCTGTTCTCGCAGTATGGCAAGCTCGGCAGGTGCAAAAGCACGGGCTCTTAATGAGTAAGGCTGGTATTTAGAGGACGGCTCTACATTCTTAATCAGGTGCAATAACACGGGATCCTTCTCGCACTACACGGCGACGACCATGTACGTGCAGGCGATAGAGAAGAAGCTGCGCAACTTCCGGTGGAACCCGACGGTGGAGATGGACTACCGAAGCCAGCTGAAGCTGCTTCGTGCGGACGCGCCTCTTTGCTGAGTGGATTCTGAGTCCGGGTGTGGAGATGCGAGGGTCGCCCCCTCGCCCCCGCTTGCCCCACCACTGTGTGTGTGTGGAAAAATTCACCTCACCTGTCTGCTAATGCCGCAGCCGCTCCTCGCTGCTCGGTGTGAACAGAGTTCGTACGGCTTTACACCGAGCAGCTCCAGCTCCGCAACTCGAGATCCCTCGAGAGATCACGCGGAGTCGGCTGGGGCTACGGCTTTATGTACTCCAGACAGTCACCTCACCTTCGTGCGCCGACGGCTGGAGACCAAAACCATTGGAGATTGGGTGTGCCATGGCATCGCTTCTCCTCTCCCTCCTCCTCCTGGCCGCGGTGCGGGGCGAGCCCGAGCCTCCTCGCGGGGCGGCTCGCCTCCGGCTCGGACGTCGCCCCAAGCGCCGCCCCCGGCCTGAGCAAAGGTACCAGTAGCGGCGGCGCCCGCCATTTTGAAGGCGGGGCACGACACCTGTTTCCTCGCGCGTCGTGATATTTTGTCGTGTCCGCGTTAGAGCAACAGTGGCACAGAGAGCGACACTAACTGTAGTGAGCGTCGGGCTGGTGGTTAGACGTCCACACCACTCTTCACACACTTCAGCAAGAGTTTGTTGCACGCTTTTCCACTGTGGCAGTCCAGTGGCAGCAGACCAAATCCAAGATCCAAGTCACATGACCCGCACCGACCACCGAGTTTGCAGGCCGAGCCGAGACTCGTAGTTCGCACCGGACACCAGCAGGAGCGACCGCTCTCCCGTCTCAGCGCTCCTGGGCCGCATCCGCCGCCATTCTGGCGGCAGCCGCCTTTGCCCTCGCAGCGGCAGTGGCCACGCGCCTCTCCTTGGCGGCGGCCAGCGCCGCCGCAGCCGCGGCCGCAGCCGCCTCAGCCGCAGCCGCAGCCTCCTCAGCCGCCGCCTCGGCCGCCGCCTCGGCCTCCTCCTCCGCCTCCGCCTCCTCCTCCGCCTCATCCGCCGCAGCGTCCAAGCGCGCCGCCTCGGCCACCTCTGCCGACGCCGCTGCCTGGCTCTCCGGCGTGATGCCGAGCCGGATCCTCTCCTCGGTGAGCGTCGCGAGAAGCAGGAGAAGCCTCGCCTCCTCGGCCTTTTTCGCCGCCTCGGCTGCGTCTGCCTCCGACGGCGCCTCGGCACCCTCCTCAGGCTCCTGCGACGGCCCAGCCCCGCCCGCCCCGCCGCCCTTCTTCTTCTTCTTGCCCTTCTTGCCCTTCGAGCGCTTCTCCGCCTCGACCTCTGCCAGCAGCTCCTCGGCGTGCCGCGCCGCCTCCTTCTCCTCCGCCGCCCTCTGCGCCGCCCTCTGCGCCGCTCCCGCAGCCCACGCTGCCTCCGCCGCCGCCTTCTCCGCCGCCTTCTCGGCCGCCGCGTGCTCCTCGAGGGCGCGCACGCACTCGGTGTGGCCCTCCTGCTTGGCAAACTGCAGCGCGGTCCAGCCATCCGTAGTGCACAGCGTCACGTCTGCGCCCGCCCGCAGCAAGCAGAGAAGGGCGGCGGACTGGCCGTGGAAAGCGGCGAGAATCAGTGCGGTGATGCCCTTGCTGGTATGCAACGAGAGATCCGCGCCGCGCTGGAGCAGCGCCTTGGCCAGCCCCTCGTGGCCCTTCATCGTTGCGAGCATCAGCAGCGTCATGCCGCTCTCAGGGCCGTCCGAAAAGACGTACTCGAACGTCGCGTTCACCTGCCCGCCGCCGTCGAGCCACGCCAGCACCGCCTCCTCATCGCCTCGCCGAGCTTCTTGCACAACCTCCTCTGGCACCGCACCGCCGCTGCTCGGCTCGGCCTCCTCGCCGCCCTCGCCGCTCGAAGCAGAGGCCGCGGCACTCGCACCCACCGCCGCGCCTGCGCCGCCTGCCTCGGCCGCCGCCGCCTCGCTCCGGCCCGCCGCCACTTCGCCGAGATACGTCCTGAAGGCCTCGACGCACTCGGTGTGGCCCTTCTCTTTGGCGATCTGCAGCGCCGTCTTGTCCGTCGCAGTGCGCAGCGCCATGTTTGCGCCCGCCCGCAGCAACTGGAGGATGACGATCGGGCGGCCGAAGAAGGCGGCGTTCGTGAGCGCAGTGTAGCGGGCGCTGTCCTGCAAGTCGACCTCCGCCCCGTGCCGCAGAAGCAAGTCGACCACCCGCTCGTGGCCATTGCCGGCGGCGTCAATCAGCGCGGTGACGCCGTCGTAGTCCTGCAGGTTGATCTCCGCGCCGTGCCGCAGCAGCAGCTCGACCACCCGCTCGTGGCCCTCCTGGGCGGCGCCCATCAGCGCGGTGTAGCCGTCGTTGTTCTGCAGGTCGACCTCTGCGCCGTGCTGCAGCAGCGTCTCGACCACCCGCACGTAGCCGTTGAAGGCGGCCGCCATCACCGCCGTAGTGCCGATGCTGTTTTGCGCGTCGGGCTTCGCGCCGCGCTTCAGCAGAAGTTCGACCAGCTGCTTGTGACCGTGTTCGGCGGCGATCAGGAGGAGCGTACAGCCACTCACACCACCACGCACGCACGTCGCGTCAGCCCGCCCATCCCCGCTGAGCCACGTCTGCACCACGCCCACCCTGGGGTGTCGACGGGCCCCCGGGGGCGACGGGGGTGCTCTCCGGCCGCGGCGGCCGAAAACGGGGGTCTCCGTTACGGTCCGTTAACGAAGTGATGCACTTGATGCAAGGGTGCCATTGTGCTCTACTACAAAAGTTGTGTAAGATGCCCAAGTCTCAGACGCTGGATCCTTAGCGGAGCTGAGTTCTGACGGTGTGAACACGAGCAACCGGAGTGACGACCGGGACCGGGCCGCACGCCGGGAGTGCCCCGACTAGCAGTGACGGGCGCGGATGAGTGAATGAGAGGTCGCTATCTGTGGGAGATGTGTTGTTAAAGACTAGGACTGCCTATCTCTCGCTGAAAGGAACCTCTCATTCGCTCGTCCGCACCCGTCACCGCTCACGGAGTGCTCCGCGTGCCGCACCGGCCGCCGCCGGCCGCCGGCCGCTTACGCGGTAACGGAACAGTGTTACTACTCCGCAACGTTGAGCTGGATCAAACTGAATAGTGCTCCTGAAAGCCCTCTCTCTGGGCTCTGCCACACAGTAGCAGCTCACGACTAGCAGCTGGTGTGGCTGTATTTGTAGCCATTTTTAGGCTTCAACTGGTCCCAAAATAGTAGCAACACCTCATGAAAATCAGTCAAAAAAGCCCCAAAAAATCGGCGCCTGCGGCGGGCTACCTGGGGCTGCGCCCCAGACCCCCTTGACTGGGGGGACCCCCCGCGAGAGCACCCCCGTCGCCCCCGGGGGCCCGTCGACACCCCAGGACGCCCACCTTGCCGTTCGCCGCCGCCGCCTCGATCCTTTTCGGCAGCGCGAGCGGCGCAGCCCGTGGCGCCGTTGAAGCGTGCCCGCGCCGGGAGGCGGCCGAGCCAGCCTTCGTCCGGCCGGGCATGCAAACGGGCGGGGTTGCGGATGCTGAGCGCGCCTCTCGGCGCGCTTGTTCGAAAAAAAATTCGTTGCCCGGGCTTCTAGTGCCAGTCCCGTACCCGGTGTCGTGCGAAAAAGGAAAAGAAGTTTCGCACACACAGGATACGGGAAAAAGAATTCCACTGGGGAGCGCCGCAGGCGCCCCAAGAAGGCCACTTGCGCGGAGAACCGCACGAATAGCGGTGCCGGTGCTCCACAGGCCCCTCCTGCTGCGGAGACCACTCTCCAATGGGTAGGGAGACCCTCCGCCAGCGCGAGCGGCGAGCGGCACACTTCCGCGTGCGCCATGAGGGCCTGGCGGACCGCGCTCCTGTCGACGCGGCCACGGTGCAGCAGTGCCTCCGCGGCCTTGACAAACACAACTGCAACCATTTCGGCGTGCGCGCCTGCGTGCGGATGGAGCTGGACGGACTGCACGAGCCGCCGAGCCACGCCTGGTGCGGCGGCACGCGCTGCCTCCTCCCGTGGCCGGCCGTCGGCAAGCGGACGACCTTCATCGCGTACGCCGCCTGGCGGAGGCGAGACCCGGCGGTGAAGCAGCTGATCGTCGGCGGCGCAGACCCGACCGTCTCGGAGGCGGCGGCCGAGGGCTGCGCACCCGCCGGCCTGCGCCAGGCGCTCCACTCCGTCGCGCCGCGCTCGGCCGTCTACGCCGTCGCGCAGATCGTGCGGCTGCGCTCGCTGGCGAACCGCGAAGCCTACTTTGGGCACGCGCGGCCAGCGGCTCGCTGCCCTAGAAGCGGAAGCGGAATGCGTGTTCATGCATTCCAACCAGCGCTCGAGAGGACACGTCTTCTTTCGCCGTCTCCCGCCGTATGTTGCGTATTCGCAGCCCCGTGTCTCCACGCGGTGCTCTGAGTACACTGCTATGAGCACACGGCGCCGAGACGGTACTCCCGCGCCTGACCTCGGCTGTCTTCCTGGCGCAGGCTTGCGACGCGTGCGGGGCAAGGCCGGGCGAGGACGGAGGCGCTGCGGCGCGCTGCGGGCCGCTGCTGCGCTGCGCGCCGTGCCGTGAGTGTGAACGGCGTCTCTTCACATCTGCAGCTGTGAACAGGCCGCTGCTGCGCTGCACGCCGTGCGGCTGCGTCTGCTGCGAGCGCTGCCTGTGGAGCACGTTTTGCGAGCCGCCGCAGTCGCAGTCCGAGGAGCGGGGCGAGGTGCGGTGCGGTGCCTGCCGCGCCAGCCTGCACACGCCGGGCGGCGAGGAGGCGGAGGAGGGCGCGGCGCTGGCGGGCCATTGCCGCGCGTGCGGCCAGGCGTGCCAAGGCCTAGAAGCGGGCTCTCTCTCCCCGTCTCTCCCCGTCTCTCCCCCAGATCTCGTGCCCCCCCGGGCCGCGCCACGCCCCAGAAGCGGAGCACGTTGTCTTGTACTCCAGCCAGCGCTCGAGGGGCACTATTCGACTGTGTTCCCCCGATCTCCCCGTATCTCCCCCTATCTCAGGCCGGCCACTGGTCCCGCAGCTGCCCACACAGAGCCTCCCGCGCCTCCTCCGCCGCCTCCGCCTTCGAGGAGGAGGCCGAGGCGGCGGCCGAGGCGGCGGACCAGGAGGCGGACCAGGAGGGTGGCGGTGAGGAAGTGGGGCGAGGCGGCGGAGGGTGCGGCGGCGGTGGCGGTGGCGGCGGCGACGGCCGTTGTGAGGGAGGATGTGGCGAGTGCGGGCGCTTTGGCGTCGGCGAGGGCGTCGGCGGTGAGGCGGGAGGCGAGGCTGCGGCGGAGGCGGAGGAGGCGAAGGAGGCGGAGGCGGAGGCGGAGGCGGAGGCGGAGTATGTCTGGCGGGGCGAGGAGCGGGTGGCGCTGCCCGGCAGGCCTCGGCCATACCTCTGCCACATCTCCCCATACCTCCCCATACCTCCCCATACCTCCCCACATCTCGCCAAACCTCGCCACATCTCCCCACATCTCGCCATATCTCGCCATATCTCGCCATACCTCCCCATATCTCCCCATATCTCCCCACATATCTCCCCACATCTCCCCTATCTCAGGCAGCCCCGCTGGACGTGCGGCTGGTGCCTCTACGATAACTTTTCGGGCCGGCAGAGCCGCCTCGTCTACAAGGCTCTCCACCACTAATCAGGCCGCTGAGTCGCCGGCCCGTACTCCTTCCTCAGGCCGAACTGCATCGTCTGCAACCTCGACCGCACCTGCCGCATGGCGGGGCGGCGGGGCGACGCGTTTGCTGCGCTGCCGCCGCGCGCTGCCGCCGCGAACTACGTGGCGCGCTTGAGCGACGAGCAGCGGCTCGAGGCTCTCCCGAAGGCAAACACACACACGCGTACACACACACACACACACACACACACACACACACACACACACACACACACACGCGCGCGCGCGCGCGTACACACACACACACACACACACACACACACACACACACACACACACGCGCGCGCGCGCGTACAAACACACACACACACACACACACACACACACACACACACACACACGCGCACACACGCACACGCGCACACGCGCACACACGCGCGCGCGCGCGCTAGCTGGCTATCTCTCGGCTATACCTCGGCTACCCCGGCTGCATCTCTCCCCCCAGGCCGCGGGCTCCTCCGACACGGCGCTGCTCCGCGCGCTCTGCTCGGCGAACGTCTCGCTCGACACTGCCTGCTCTATTCGCAATCAATCACCCCGGTATTGTTACTTCCTTAGGCCGGCGTCTCGCTCGACACTGCGGACGAGTACGGGATGACGCCGCTGCACGTGGCGGCGTGGAGGGGCGCTGCGGCGTCGGTCCGCAGGCTCCTGCTCCTCCAGATGCGGAGAGAGGGGGAGATAGGGGGAGATAGGGGGAGATCTTCCGCCGGCTCGCTCCTCGAGACGCGGAGCACAGGCCCATATCTCCCCATATCTCCCCATATCTCCCCATATCTCCCCATATCTCCCCGTATCTCCCCATATCTCCCCACATCTCCCCGCATCTCGAGAGGAGGGAGCACAGGCCCTTGTCTTCGCCCTCCCAGCCATCTCTCCCCCTCTCTCCCCACGCCGGCGCAGACTCGCTGCTCTTGGTGCGAATCCTCTCCCAGCCCGCGCGCACGGCGGCACGACTCCCGCGACCGCCGCCGCCGCCAACGGCCACGCCACCGCCCTCGACGCCCTCGCGAGCATCGGCGCGCGGCGTCTTCCCCGCCGCCGTTCCTACACACGCCTAAAAGAGTGCGCCGGTGGAGGCCTCGACCGATTGCCCACCCCGAGATCGCCCGAGATCACCCGAGATCACCCGAGATGACAGCGACGGCGTCTGCTGCGCCCGACGCCACCCCGAGATCACCCGAGATCACCCGAGATCACCCGAGATCAGGCGCCGACCTGGACAGCGACGGGTCGGAGAGGGGCGTGACGCCCCTCCTGCACATCCTCCGCCGGGCGGCGCCGGCCGCGCTGCAGGCAGCTGCCACCTCGGGCGAGGGCGACGCAGCGCTGCGGGCAGCGTGGTGCCCCGCGCGAGCGCTGCAGACGGTGCCGACGTCACCTCTCCCCATCTCTCCCCATACCGCCCCTATCTCAGGCTGTCCCGCTGGTCACATCTCCCCGCATCTCCCCGCATCTCCCCACATCTCCCCTATCTCAGGCAGTCCCGCTGCCGACGGTACGCGGCGCGGGCTTGCGCGTGCTCATCTCGAGTCGAGAGGGGCACGCCGGAGCCGGGTCGGTGGTGATCGACGGCGCCGTCCCCGAGCCGCTGCTCGAGAAGCTCGACGCGCTCTTCGCCTCTCTCCCCCTCGCGCCGCGCTACAAGTGCACGCAGGGCCTCAACGACCGCGCGTACTTTTGCGATGCCGAGGGGTGGGTCAGCGCCGCGCTCGCCGGCGCGGTCGCCTCCGCCGCCGCCGCCGCCGCCGCGGCGGGCGGCGAGGGCGTGCCCATCGTCGGGACGCCGATCGCGCACATGCGGTTCCTGCTCTACGCAGAGGCGGGCGGGGGACTGCCGCCGCACGTCGACCTGTCGCGGACGGACGCCACGGGGCGCACCTCGACGCACACCTTCATCCTCTACCTCTCCGGCTGCGCGGAGGGCGGCGAGACCGTGCTGCTCGAGTCGCTCTCGCTCGGCAAGGGAAGCGTGCGCGCCGCCGTGACGCCGGTGCGAGGCCGCCTGCTCCTCTTCCCGCACGCGTGCCCGCACCTCGCCCGGCCGGTGGTCGCGGAGGGCCTACCGAAGCTGCTCCTGCGCGGGGAGATGTATTAGGGGAGGCGCTTACACCGTCGTTTTCAGCAAGCAGAGAGGCACGCGGGGGGCGCTCACGCCGGCTTGCGAGCGAGAGTCGCCTTAAAACGCTCTGCTGGGACGCAGATGCGCCCAGATCGCAGTCGCAGACGGACACTTCTGAATAAGAGAACTTCTGTTGGCCTCGTGAGCTGTACCGTGAGCTGTACCGTGAGCCGTACGGGTCTTGGGAGGCGTGCGTGATTTTGCGCGGAGGAAGGAGCCAGAGTCTTTTTTAGTAAGGTACGGCGCACGGGCACGGCATTAAAAGTGCATCTGCAAGGCCCAGTGCGCGTGGGTGAGCGACGTGTGTGTGTGTATGTGTGTGTGTGTGTGTGTGTGTGTGTGGTGTGCACACGGCTCACGGGCGAACAGGTGAGACGTCTCTGTCTCACGGGTTTTTCGTCCCTGTCTCAACGCTGTGCCACAAATGCGTCTCAGTAATGTCTATCACATACTCTCACCGATCTCTGCGTTGTCTCAGCCTGGTCACAGCAACAGTCTCACTTTGTCTCAAGGATGTCACACACACGGCACAGTCACCTTCAGAGACGTGTTTGAGACACCAGTGAGACAAATGTTCACCCCTGCTGTGTGACAATGTCGTCTCTACTACGTCTCGTCATTTCCTCTCGTCTCACACTCGTCTCACGGTGAACAAGCGGCAATCCTCGTCTCACTCGGTCTCACAACGGCATAGTTGCTGCGCCAAGCGACTCGTCTCACTTGCTTCTGAGACTGTGCTGAGCCACAATGAGACACGGCGCAGAACGGGTGTGAGACGCCACAAGCCGCTGCCTCATCACAGCGCGTTGTCAGATACCATCTTACCATGCCATGAGCCAACCTCTGAGACGCAATCGTGAGACATTGGCGGGAGAGTCGAGACTATAGGCTGCGTCTTTGCTAGCCAGTTGTAGCGCGGTCGGCAGAGGGGTGAGGGCGGCGACAGCATGGGTGGCGGACCGCCTCACCTCGGAGCGGTCGGTGCAAAGTACTCATCAAGCCGAGGGCGTAGCCGCGACGAACAGAGGGCGAGAGCGTAGTGCTGGGCACTAACCCGAACCGCCGGCCCCTGCCCGCGCGTGTGTGTGTGTGTGTGTGTGTGTGTGTGTGTGTGTGTGTGTGTGTGTTGTGTGTGTGTGTTTGTTGTGTGTGTGTGTTGTGTGTGTGTGTGTGTGTGTGTGTCCTCAGTGTGTGCGCGTCTGCGTGTCCACTGCCCGATCAACAGAGGCGGGTACCGCCGCAGGTCCCCTAGTACTGACGGCACAATTGGTGCCCTCTACGTGTGAGCCTGCAACCAAGATTCTTTTGTTGGGGCGGGCGAGTGCACGGAGCTAAGTGCCTCGCCGCCCTCGCGGGAGTCGCTTAGGCGGCTCCCGTGGTGTGTACCTGTGTTAGTGCCAGTGCACGCCAGTCCCGTGCCCCGTGTTGTGCGAGGGAGCTTCGTTGTGCTTGTAAAATTCTTTTGTTGGCCAGTGCGAGCCAGTCCCGTGCCCAGTGTTGTGCGACGGATTGTAAAATTCTTTTGTTGGCGCGCCCAGCGGCCGCATGCTGTTCGACGCGAATAGGAATACCACGGAACGCATTGGCCCATCAAGTCGTGTGCGTCCCCGCTGCAACGTGCACGTCTTTCAACCCGTCCACAAGACGTCGACCAAGTCTCGGCAGGGAGGGTCGACCGAGTCTCAGTACGACGTGTTCAGCAGAATTGCTCCGCGCGTCAACTCGACGCCGCGATCCAGGGCCGACTGGATCTTCGGATCGGATCTCACCTTGTTCCGCACGGCGGAAGGTGTGAGAAAAGAGATGGCGCGTCACACGGCGGCTGAAAGAGTCGGCGTAGCCGCGCGCACCTCGGTGCGGCGGTAGCGCACCTACGGGCAGTGTGTTGTTCGCTGCGTCACCACGCTCCCACCCGCTGCGGGCTTAGGCGGCGCTCCCATGCGGGCCCCTGTGCTATAGTTGCTCGGGCGAGGACGTGGGCCCGATCTGCTGACCACTGGTGCAGCGCATGACGATCGGCCGTCGATCCCGAGGCACGAGGGTCGTCGGTTTAGCTAGGGAGCCTGGCGATGGACGCCAGCGCGACCCCTCGTGGCATCTCTCTCGCCGTCGGCGAGCTAGGGGCTCGCGGACGGCCGATTAATTAACAGTGTACAGACCTCGTGCCCGGCCGCCTCGAAGACGCGACCGACGGCGAGCGCGTAGCCGTCCGAGCGCGCGGAGTACATGCGGGCGGCGGCCTCCGCCTCTCCCGCGCTTCGCCCCCGCTCTGGCGGCAGTTGGAAGTGCGTCGAGTAGACGACCGTGACGCTGGACGCATTGGGCAGAGGCAGGCGAGGGAGGATGCTCCGGTAGCCCGCCGCGGTGGGGGTCGCCTTGCCGTCGTGGAGGCACGGCGGCTCGGCCGCGCAATCGCCGCGCACGAGCATGTCTCCAGTGCGGACGTGGACGAGGACTGCGCCGGCGGCGGCACGAGTAGCGGGGCGGCGGAGGTCTAAAAGGCTGATGAAGCAGCGCTTGTTGAATCGCCGGTCGCCACACACATGGAGGTACCGGCAGCCCAATGAAGCGGGCCAGAGGCCACAAACATATGGCTCGCTCACCTGGTATGTCGCGAGCGCATACTTTGGCGATCTGAAGCGCCACACAATGTCTCCAAGACGGTAGAGGTGAGGTGATGAGAAGGCCAGCTCCGGCTTTAGAGCGCACGCCGTGCACGCGAAGCCACCAAAGAGCGACTTTGCCTCAGTGCCGCCGAAGGCCTGGCCGTCGGCGGTCTGCAGCAACGCGTCTTCGACCTCGTCCTGGGTCCAGCTCGCATGGCCCGCCGCAAAGTCGGCCGACCCCTCTGGGCCGAGTTGCTCGGCGAGCCAGAACGCCGCCTCGTGCGGTGTCTGAGGGAGGGTGTAGAGGATGTAGAGGATGTAGAGTGTAGAGCGCTGTAGAGCTGTAGAGCTGTAGAGCGCTCTGGAGCGCTGTAGAGCTGTAGAGCTCTACATCCGGCGCGGGACGAACTGCGTGCGTTGTAGAGCGCTGTAGAGCGCGATTTTGCTGTAGAGTTTGTTGTAGAGGCTCTACGGCAAAACCGCGCCGGGAAGGCAGTGACTCAAAGAGGTCGAGCCGCGCTAATGGGGTGTCTCCGAGCTTACTGGAGCTCTGATGGACGGCCCTGACTATCCCTGACACACAGAGAGTCACTCTGACGGCACACAACACCCTATGACTGCGTCATGACCAGCCTGCCATGCGTCGCCGGTGCCGCATTCGTCCCTGTGCTTCTTTAGCAGGCGGTGGACTGTCGGCTGCGAGGACGGTCGCATTTGCGCTAGGCGAGGCGAGCATTCAGGCGCGTTGCATGCGCCATGACTCGCGCCAGCGCGTGCGGGAGCTCCTGGCTGAGCGTTGAGTCCAGGTGAGTTGCGCTGGCCACTATCGCTACGCCGAGCCGAGCTGACGCGCCGAGGCGCCGGCCAGTCGCAGCCGTGAGGCATGCCACAGCAGCAGAGGCACCTGCCACCCATTGGGCGGGCAGACAGATAGAAGGCCAGGGCAGCACTGGCAAGTGCAACGCGCCTCATGTCGGAGAGCGACCGTGCCTCGTTCGCCGCTTTTGATGTACGTACTTTTAGCTTACTGGGAGAAAAGAGAGAGGGGGTTGTGTTCTCTAGGCCCCTAGGGGCCCTACGCGCGGCGTGAGAGCTCGGAAGCGAGCTTAGCACGGCGATCGAGGATGGCACGGTTCACCCCCTTCACCGAAGCGATGGAGATGCGTTCCGCGTGGTGTGACTCTCTCTCTCTCTTGATGTAGAGTTTGTTGTTGGTATGATAGTAGTGTGGCAGTTTGGTCGAAGGGCGCCCGGGTCGCCCCGGAGCGGCCCCGCGCGGGGAGGTGGGTGGAGGGCGGGCACCACGCCATCGGGCAGGCCACGCGGGGACGCAGCCGGGGCCAGCGCGCGGCGCTAGAGGGCCGGGCGCAAACTTGTTGCACCTGCCTGCACCTGCACCTGCACCTGGGTGCAGCGAGTTTTGGTGGTTCGAAAAGCGGAGCGCGCAGTCCTTGTGGCTGCGATGCCTCCGCCAGGAGACACGGATGGCGCCGTCAGGAGCGACGAGGCTGGCGAGGCGCCGCATTCGGTCGTCGTCCTGCCGGCGACTAGCGATCTGAGCAGTACATTGAGGCCGTTGGTGGAGCGAGATCGTCGCGAGCGAGGTGACGAGGATGGAGCTGTGGGTGTAGCCGGTGGAGGCTTGGTTGCGTCGTCCACGACGAGGCGTCGGAGAATGACGAGAAGCGTGACGGTGATTCTCGGGCCGAGGCCGATGTCTCATAGGGAGGAGGTGACTTTATGCGCCTTCGCAACGCGGTTCAATTGTGGACGAAGATGTACACGGAGATGGGATGGTGCGACGACATGCGGGACAAGCTAGAATCGTGCAACATGCACATGTTCGCACCGCGAGGTGGAACCGAGGTTTAGACGGGTGTGGCTCCAGGGTCCGGTGCTCCAGGATGCAGCGGCTGCGAACCGGCGCAGTTGTGTCCGCAATGTGCTCACTGATGTGGCTCAGCAGGAGGATCAGGACGGCAACCACGCACAAATGTCTGTGTTGTATGCGCGAGCGATGCTGGGCTATCATTACACACTGGCTGCGATCGGGAAGCACATGCATAACCTAGAAGACGGAGAGCAGAGTACAAATTCGGATCTTGATGAGGCGGGGGAGATCTTGGTTGCCGCCGAGGATCTGCTTTCCCAGCTGGAATCAGTGAAGCAGATGTGGTACAATGCCGGTTTCCAAGGCAACTTTGCGGAGAAGAGTGTGCGTGACGCCTTTGCGGATCGGACTAGTAGTGTGCTTGCCCAGCTGGCAGTGATGTCACTGCACACGTTGCAGAACCACTTGCAAAATACGACTGCCGGTGCGAGGTTTTCGGAGATTGCTGCTGACATGTCTGCTAGGATCAGCACGACAGA